AGGCTTCTCCACCACGTGCCCTGCCCCCTCCCATCCTGTGCCAGAGCAGCCCCACCCCTGGGCAAAGAGGCTTCTAGCCGGGCATAGTGGCACCTGCAGTCCTAGCTACTTGGGGGTCCCAGGCGGGAGGACCCGTAAGCACAGGAATTTGAGGCTGTAATGAGCTGTGATCACACCACTGCACTCCAGTTTGGCCCACAGAGCAAGACCGAGTCTCTAAAAAGAAAAAAAGTGGGGCTTCTCCTCAGGCACCCACCTGTGTGGCTGTCCTTCTCCATGCCTGTGCAGGTCCAAGTGGGTGCCCTGGGCCCCTGAACATCCCACACCTCCTGTGCATATTCTGGATGCTGCGGACACGGCAGGGAGTGAGACAGACACAGACCCCTGCCCTCATTGGGCTCACTTTTCAGAGAAGATAGAGACCAGGCACTCTCTATGACAGCAAACAATCTGGACCGGATCATTCTTTTTGGGGGCTGTTCTGCACACTGTAGGATGTTCAGCTGGATCCCTGGCCTGTCCCTACTAGAAGCTAGTAGCACTCCCCCCACCCCACCCAGCCGTGACAACCCAGACTGTCTCTAGATATTGCCAAATATCCCTGAGGGCAAGACTGCCTCCTCCCACCCCCATCCCTACCTTGAGAACTACTGGATACAATGAACGATCAACATACTCAGTAAAGTATATAGTTAGGTGAGAAAAACGAAAATAGTAGAATGGGGTGGGGGTGGGGAGGATGGGGTAGTACCATGGATTGAATGTCTGTGTTCCCCCAAACCTCCTGTGTTGGAGCCCAGACCCTCAATGTGGCCATAGTTGAAGAAGGGGCCTCTAAGGAAGTAATTAAGGTTAAATGAGGTCACAAGGGTGGGGCCCTGATCTGATAGGATTAGTGTCCCTATAAAGAAGAGACGCTGAGAGCTCACTTGCTCTCCCTTTCTCTTTCCCAGAACATACAATGGGGAAAGGCCTTGTGAGGACACAGCAAAAAGCTGTCATTCTGCACGCCAGGATGAGGGCTGTCATCCAAAACCGAACTGGCCAACGCCTTGCTCTTGGACATTTGACCTCCAGAATGGTGAGAAAATAAATTTCTGTGGTTTAGGCCCCTCAGCCTGTGGCATTTTGTTATGGCAGTCCACACAGACTAAAATAGGTGGGTTGGAATTGGCAGGTGGCCTACTTAGGGTGGGTGGTCTGAGTCCTACCAAGAACAAAAGATTTGAGCAAAGCCTTGATTGGGGGGAGGAGAGGCCAAGCCCCTGGGCTATCTGCAGGAACTGGACAGAGCAGCCAGAGTGTCCCAGGCCGGGCAAGGAGGCTATGTGGCTTGCCTGAGTGGGCAGGGAGCCGATGGAGGAGAGGCTGGGAGGTAGACAAGTTACCTTGAGGGCCTCCCAGCTATGGCAGGGCTTGGATTACCACTACAGGTGACATGGGTGCCTCAGAGGGTCATGGACAGAGGAGACAGCGTCTGACAATGATTTAAACGGTCCCTCTGTCATAGCAGTCATTATTCACAATAGCTGAGAGCTGAAAGCAACCCAGATGTCCAGTGACAGATGAATGGGTAAACAAAATGTTATCTATCCATGTGATGGAATATTATTCAGCCATAAAAGGAAGGAAATTCTGACATATGGTACAACATAGATATGAACCTTGAGAACATGATGCTCAGTGAACTAAGCCAAACACAAAGGGACAAATCCTGTATGATTCCGCTTATATGAGGTCCCTAGAGTAGTCAGATTCACAGAGACAGCGCATAGAATGGTGGGTGCCAGGGGCTGAGGGTGGGCAATGGGGAGTTATTGCTTAAATGGGGACAGAGCTTCAGTTTGGGAAGATGAAAAAGCTCTGGAGATGGATGGTGGTGATGATTGTGACAATATGAATATAAATGCTGCTGAACTATACACTTAAAAATGGTTAAAATGTGGCTGGGCATGGTGGGTCACGCTGTAATCCTAGCACTCCAGGAGGCCAAGATGGGTGGATTATTTTAGCTCAGGAGTTCGAGACCAGCCTGAGCAAGAGCGAGACGCCGTCTCTACTAAAAAAATAGAAAGAAATGGACAACTAAAAATATACAGGAAAAATTAGCTGGCATGATGGCACATGCCTGTAGTCCCAGCTACTTGGGAGGCTGAGGCAGGAGGATTGCTTGAGCCCAGGAGTTTGAGGTTGCTGTGAGCTAGGATGATGCCACGGCACTCTACCCCGCGCAACAGAGTGAGACTCAGTCTCAAAAAAAAAAAAAAAAAAAAGGTTGAAATCGTAAATTTTGTTATGTGTACTTTACAATTTTTTTTTTTGAGAGTCTTGTTCTGTCGCCCTGGATAGAGTGCAGGGGGGTCATCATAGCTCACAGCAACCTTCAACTCCTGGGCTCCAGCCATCCTCCTGCCTCAGCCTCCTGAGGAGCTGGGATTCCAGGCGCCACTGCACTCGGCTAATTTTCTATTTTTAGTAGAGACGGGGTCTCGGTCTTGCTCAGGCTGGACTCAAACTTTGAGCTCAAGTGATCCTCCCTCCTCAGCCTGGAAGAGCGAGGATTGCAGGAGCGTGAGCCACCGCGCCAGCTACGTTTTTTCTTTTCCTGAAAGGTCCCTCTGACTGGCGACTGGAGCGGCGTCCAGGTGAGGGGAGTGTGGACGGGACGAGGAGCAGAGGCGATCCTGGCGGCTCTGAGGTGGGGCCGGCAGGATTTTTGAAAGAACAGTGGTAAGCTGAGGGGAGGGGACACGAAAAGGTGGGGACAGAGGATCGCTCCGTAGAGAGCCTGGGGTCCGGTCAGTGGCTCCAGAGAGGAAGGAGCAGGAACCGCTGGCGCTGGCGGAGAGGCGCTGGGAGTTGTTTTGTTCGCATGTTAAAGAGCCACAGCTGGTTTGCCAGAAAAGAACGATCCTGTGGAGAAGGAAAAACTGGGGTGTGAGGGAGGCGGGAGCCAGGGCGCAGCCGCCCCCACCCAGGCCAGGTGCCCACAGGGCGGAGGGCCACAGGTCCCCTGGGGGGCGCGCGGTCAGGAGAGGTTGTACGCGGGCAGTCATGGTCAGCTTGGGCCTTGGGATGAAACAGGCCTGCAGGAGAGCACCGCGGGGCACCGGGGAGGTGGGAGAAGGTGTGTGAGGAGCGCCCGCCAGGCACTGGGGACATACCGGCCCCTGGACCCTCGTTGTGACACAGCCCGCGTGGAACGAGCGCCAGCCCTGCGGGTCTCAGCCGTGCGGGGCTCCGAGCGCTCCGCTCCACAGCCCGAGCCGAGCCTCTGGGGCACGCCAGTGCGCCTTCCCCCGGGGAGACAGCTGTCTGTGGTGGGGGTGACAGGAAGTCACAACTGGAGGCAGCGTGGGACCTACCGGGTAGAAAAAACCCTGCGGCCGGCGTGGCGCGGTGGCTCACGCCTGTAATCCTGGTACTCTGGGAGGCCGAGGCAGGAAGATTGCTTGAGCTCAGGAGTTTAAGACCAGCCTGAGCAAGAGCGACCACGTCTCTACAAAAAATAGAAATACTAGCCGGGCAAGTTGGTGGCGCCGGTAGTCCCAGCTACTCGGGAGGCTGAGGTAGGAGGATTGCTTGAGCCCAGGAGTTTGAGGTTGCTGTGAGCTAGGATGACACCACTGCACTCCAGCCAGAGGTGTGACGCCTTGGGGCGCACGTGCCACCCAGGGGCCGCGGGCCGCCCCACCTCACCTGCTGACTGACCGCTTGACCCTGCGCACCGGGCACCTCATACGCGAAGGCTACTGGCTCCCAGGCGTCCAGGACATGGGCCCCCCGCTTGGGCCCTGCCTGCGTTTCCACACGCTGGGAGGCAGGGCACCCTGAGCACTACCCCGTCCCCAAAGCCAGATAGATGTCCGTCCAACTGGGAGTGGAGAGTGGCGGTCACGAGCACACCCCTCACCCGGCCTCCCAAACCCGCTCACGGTTTAGACAACCGACCGAGTCCGACCGCCGGGGAAGCTTGGGAGCTCGGACGTCACCACGTTGTGCCAGCGTTACCACAGGCCAGGGGTCCGGAGGTGTGCGGGGTCGAGGGTGGCTAGCTGGGAGTGGACCCACGCAAGGGAAGCCGCCCGAGGCTTGGCCCCGCCACCAGGAAAGGGCCTGGCTGGAAGTCAGCTCTGCCGCGAGAGGGATTCGGGCCACCGCACAGGCTGCCGGCTGGGGGGTAGTGGGAACGCCGGCACTCACGTGGTCCTGGGGCTCCTTCTCCCAAGGTCACGGCCTCCGCATCGGTGTTGAACTTAGCGAGCCTCGCGCCGCCAGTGGCCCCCGTGGGCGCCTGGCAAATGCAAGTCTCACGCCGCCCCCCCCCCGGGGCCCACGCGTGCGGGGAGACCTCGTCCCTCTGGGAGGGATGGTCTCCACCAGCCGCTAGAGTCCAGGCCCAACAGCCCTTTAGTTCACGGGGAAACGCCTGCACCGGGGCTGAGCGACCGCCCCCTCTGGGCACACGGCGGCGGCGGCGGTGCGGTCAGCCTTCCCGGCAGCAGGCAGCTGGAGATGGGGCAAGGGAAGTGGGTAGATCCCCCACCGACCGGACCTCACCGGGCGGTCCGACCGCAGCCTGGGCCCCACCGGCCCGGGAGCTGAGCGCTCGCGTCCGCATTTACCGTGCCCCGGGCCCCTGGCGTGCACCGAGCCCCTCCACCGGGACCGGCCCCCAGCGGCAGACGCACTTTTCCCACTTCCTCGGCTTTGTTCCCGCCGGCGGCGCGTTCTGGAGGGTCCTCCCAGGCGCCGCCTCCTCCAGGCAGCCCTCGACTCTACCGGCTGAGGCTCAGACGCCGCTCCCAGGCACCGCCAGTGGCCGGGCCTGGACATGCGGGAGTACCAGGTACCCCCTCGGTCCCTTTAAGCTGGCGGCTCCGGCAGTCTCCGGGTTTCCATGACGACGACGTCGAGTGGGGGCCCGGGAGGGGTCGGGTCGGGGAGCATGCGCGGTGCGCACCGGCCGCGGAACGTCTTCCTGAGTCGCCCCGGTTGCTGGTCGCGGGGTCCCTGAACTGCGGTAAGGGCGGAGGTGGGGGCGTCCAGGTGGGGAATTCTCGAGACCCGGGAGGCGGGCTGGGGTCGCGGGCCCTTGCGGTGGTGCAGGGCTTCGGGGCTCTGGGAATGGGTGGGGCTGGGGTCGCGGACCTGGGGAGTGGGGCGGGGTTCGCGGGCCCGGGGGCTGAGGCGGGAGATCGCGGCCCTGGGAGTGGTTAGGGCTGGGGTCACGGGCCGGGTGAGAGGGAATGGGCTGGGGTCGCGGGCCTGGGGGATGGGGCGGAGGTTCGTGGTCCTGGGAGTGGGTGGGGCTGGAGTCGGGGGCCCGGAGGTGGGGTGTAGTGGCGGGGCTTCGGGGGCCCAGGGTGCGGCTGGCACCGCTGACTCCCTCCTGCCCACTGCAGGGCGGCCCGGGCTTCCTCGGCCATGGCCCCCCCGCCGAGGCGCAGGTCCTCGATGTCGATGTCGCTGCCGCCGCCGCTACTGCTGCTGCTGCTGAGCCTGGCGCTGCTGGGCACCCGGGCCCACGCCGAACCTGCCACCGGGAGCGCAGTCCCTGCGCAGAGTTGGTGCCCCGGGGCGACCCTGTGGAGTGCGGGGGGGCGGGAGGGGGTTGGGGGCCGTGCCTCTCCTTTGTTCCCGTAGCGGGTGCTCCCCTCGGCGGGAGATGGTGGAGTGGGGAGTGGGGCCAATCTCCTGGCTGGGGGTAGAGGCGTGGCGGTGCAAAGGACCCCTGCCAGACGGCACTCTTCCCCCGTCGCCCCCCCACCCCCCCGCAGGCCGCCCGTGCGTTGACTGCCACGCGTTCGAGTTCATGCAGCGCGCCCTGCAGGACCTGCGGAAGACAGCCTACAGCCTGGACGCGCGGGTGAGGGCCGCTTGGCGCCCCAGGGTGGTCCCAGGCTTCCCCGGGGCTTGCGGGACAAGGGGAAAGGATGTCGAAGAGGCGCTCTCCGGTGAATGTAGAGCCAGCGTTTCAGGACGCCCAGGCGTGTCCCTAATCTTCCACTCCCGTTTATTGACAGCCTCTGTGATCCTTGTGGGCACAGTCCTCACCTTGAGTACCCCCTATGCCCAGCACACTTTCTAGCTCCACCCCCGGGAGGCCTGTGACTCCTCTACCCTGGGTCTGGGCGCTGTGGCAGACCTGGCCCCTGGGGAGGGACCGCCAGCCCAGTCCAGGATTCCCCAGGTGGGGGGTGAGGCCCAGGGGTCAGAAAGGAAGGTGGGGCAGAGAAAGAGGGTGTGGCCACAGCATTAGGGATCGGAGTGGGTAGACACACACATTGACTAAACACCCCCAAGACTGGACACACAAGGCACAGCCAGGAACGTTTCCATCTGTGGTGGAAACTTGTGCTTCGTCCTGGAAAGGATTCAGGAAGGGGAGAGCCCTGCCTGGCCCATCCCTTACAAGTCCTGGTGCCCTTCTCTGGACAGTTCCAGAGGGCCCAGGCAGAAACCTGCAGCCCCCTCTCGCGCCATGGGGTCTGGAGCTGGGCTCTTGGAGGAGCAGACCCCAGCTGACCCTTGGGCATTCCACTGGGGGCGTTGGCTGACAGTGGCCCCCTGAGAGGGAGTGTGAGCTGAAGGAAGGCGGGGCAGTCATCTGGCTTGGGGGTCACCATGTGCAGGCCCTATCAGAAGCAGCTGGAGATGGGGCTGCCCTGGGTGGGCTGGAGGCCCTGGGGGAGATGGCCAGTGGGCAGCCGTGCCACAGCCTCATGGCCTCTTGTTGCTTTGCAGACGGAGACCCTCCTCCTACAGGCCGAGCGCCGGGCGCTGTGTGCCTGCTGGCCAACCGGGCGCTGAGGACCCTCACCAGCACTGTTCCTTGTCAATAAACGCCCAGCCAGCATGCCTGTGTCCTTTCTCTCTGCTCTGAACACCACAGCCCCCTGTGTCATCCCTAGGAGGCCCTGGTTGGTTGGGCCCCTCTCTGGGCCTTGTTTTCCCCAGTTCTGTGTGGGTGGGAACCCTCTTGCCACACCTGTCTCACACCAGTGCTGAGAGGTAGATACACACTTCTCATCTTCTTGAGTGCACCTGCACCCACAGGCATGTGTGACATGGCAAGCCCACCTTCCAGGGGCCTGCTCATTGCCTGCTGTCCTTGCTTGGAGTCTGGGCAAGTAGAGAAAATGCCCTATGCCCCTGACACCCCCAGGGCTGAGCCCCCCAAGACTCTGCATGGAGTGGGCTCCCTGGAGGCTGAGTGGCAGGCTACACAGCCTGTGGCTGCTGGGGGAGCGAGGGTGACTGGGCAGTGCCTCTCCAGGGAAGGGAGGGCTGGGATCGCCACCCCCAGCCTCAGCCCTGAGCCTGGGCCCTGGGCACTAGGGCCTCCTGGACGGGGAGCTGGCACGGGCCTGTGCACCCAGTGCCCAGCAGGTGACCTCCAGGTGAGGCAAGTCACACCTTTCTCCCCTTATTCTTTCTGTACATGCTTTTTAAAGTGAAAGTAGAGCCTTTTGTTAAAGTAATGCATGCACATTGTTAGAAACAAACCCAGGAGGACAGCAGAGCAAAGACTGGAAGTGACTGCCACTCACCTGGGCAGGACACTTGGGCTCTCTGTGGCTTTAGTTCCCTGCTTGTCACTGCTGCAGCCCAGGTGCTGCTATCTTGGGCAGGTAGGGCTGGACAGTCCTGGTCCACTGTCTGAGAGGAGGCCTTTTAGCTCACCAGCCCCTGCCTCTGCTCTGTCCAGTGGTGATCTTTATTGCCCTTGCTGACTGCCAGGTACTGACTCCATGTTCCTGCCCTTTGCCTGCCCCCACTAGCCTGTCCTGACGTGGAGGCTCCCCAGTGAACAGAGTGCTCCCTGGGCAGCTCACACCACAGTGGCGGGACCAGGTTGGATGTGCAGCAGGGGGTGCCTGTGAAGAACTCTGAAGCGGGCCAGGGAGAGACTTGAGGGGTTCTGAGGCCATGGCAGGCCTTAGGCCTTCGTTGGCCCTCCAGCCTGGGCCAGAGAGGGGTGCGGTACAGGACCAGATTCCTGTCCCCAGCTCAGCAGTGCCTGAGCAGAGGTGGCGAAGAAGGGCATGGCCTGGGCAGTGCTCATGTCCCGTGGGCTGGCCTTAGTCACATGGCCACTCCTAGCTGCAAGGGAGGTGGGGAACGTAGCCTTGGGTAGCCAGATTTAGCACATCAAATACAAGAAAAAAGAATACTCTTTAAGGGTAGTCCCATGCAGTATTTGGGATGAACTTACACTAAAAATTATTATTTATCCAAAATTCAAATTTAGTGTCCCATATTTGGTGGGCAGCCATGATCCTGGCACAGATTGGGGGTTACTACTATCACTGTAAGAGATGGGGTCAGCTGAGAGTGCTTGTAGAAGTCTCTCAGGAGGTGCCCTTTGGGGTGACTTAGGGGTATGCACCAGGCAGACTCGGGTGTGAAGGGGCCAGGGCTGGTGTGCATGTACCTCTGACCGGCAAGCGGGCCCAGGGCCTGCAGAGAGCATGGCCAGTGTCAGGAGAGCGTTGGCGCAGCACGGTGGAGCCCTGTGGGGTTTGGGGCAAGGATGTGGGCTGATGGCTGTAAGCTGGACGCTTCTGGCCACTGGTTGAGAACAGACTGGCTGGGTGACCACAGAACTGGCCTATGAGGGGGTGGCCGCCGGGTGCTGGTGCCGGGGCCAGCGTGAGAGGCAGTTGGATTCTGGATGTGTTTGAAAGTGATGGCAGCGGGGTTTTTGGGTAGGTGGATGTGGGTTAGAGGGAGGCAGGAGGCCACTGGATGGTTGCACCGGGAAGGGGGCTGGAAGGAGCAGGTTGGGACAGGAGTGCTGGCTGAAATCCCTATGGCCTAAGCATGGACGGCGGACAGCTGAGGGACCCCTGGGGACAATGGAGCCACCACAGGCAGGAAGAAAACTGAGAGGTGTCCTGGAGGGCCGGGTGAGGGCTTCAGGAATTGGGATTCAGTGTGTCACATGCCATGGAGGGTAGGCAAGGCCGGGATGACCAGCAGATTTGGCAACTCTGGTCATTGGTGACCTCGACAAGAGCAGGGTCCATCAGGGCTGGGAGGCCTAAACGGGCTTCCGGTGGGGGGAGTACAGGCAGCGCTGTCAAGCAGTTTGGCTTCACGTTTGCCCTGGAGCCACGCAGGGCCGTCCTGCTTGGCTGGAGGTGAGTCAATACAGAGCATCTGTGACGTCTGCATGTAGGTGTCGCTCGTGGCCTGGCCAGTGAGCTGGGAGTGCGTTCTCTTTCCCAGACACCTGCTTTCCTGGACGTCAGGTTGGCTTTTTCCCTCCTCCCGCATCGTTTGCCTTTATCACGTCTGTACGTCCTCCAGCATCCAGACATCCCTTCCCCTTCGTCTCAGGGCACCTCCCAGCGCCTCCGCCTTCCTGCCCCAGCCAGCTGGGCGGTCCCACTGCCCAGCCTCCTGCCCAAGCTTCACTCCGTGGCTCAGAGCCACCTTCCCCTAGACCCGTGTCCTGTCCTCCCTGCCGCGTACTTTCAGGTAGCCTCGCAGGAAAGCATGTGGGAAGAAAACGTGCCTAGTCGGCCTGTCTGAAGATGTCTTCCGTCAGCTCCGGGGGCTCGTGGTTGGGCCCTCCCACCCAAGGGCAGCTGCCCCCTTGGCCTCTGAGACCAGCCTCGCTCTCCAGCACGTGTCCCGGGGTGACGCTAGAGCACTCGCGCTCTCTGTGTTAGTAGCTCATCTCCTGACACCCCCGCTGGACTATAGAGCCCCAGCAGGGTGAGACTTTGTGTTTCCGCGGCCCACTGTGGGCTGGCGCCTGGCTCAGTGTTGCAGAGAAGGTCAAGTGGAGGATGGGCTCTCAGTTGGAGGTGGGCGCCTCTCTGTACCCCATCCATCTGCCTGCAGCAGGAACCCTCAAAAGTCACTGGAAGTTTCCACGGATGTGTTTTGGGCCCTGTTTGCACTGGTTCAAGGTGCTGGGCAGGTTGCACCTGGAGCTACAGGCTCTTTAGCTTGGGGGAATCATTGTTTTACTGTTGTTTCTTCCCTCCCTTTTCCTTACTCCTGTAAGTTGTACAGTGGGCCTTCTGCATGGCTGTTTCCTTCTTTTCTTTCCCCATCTCCTGGCATGATCATAACTTACCGCAACCTCAAACTCCTGGGCTCTAAGCAATCCTCCTGCCTCAGCCTCCAGAAGAGCTGGGACTACAGGTGAGTGTCACCACACCCAGCTAATTTTCTATTTTTTTGTAGAGACAAGGTCTCGCTCTTGCTCAGGCTGGTGTCAAACTGCTGGTATCAAGTGATCCTCCCACCTCAGCAAGACAAACATCTCTGGGGCCCAACTGTGCCTAGCCTCGGTTTTCTTGCCTGTAAAATGGGCTCCTGACACCGACCTGAGGCTGACATGAGGCGCAGTTTCCTGGCACAGCCTCCCCCGGCATGGGCAGGGGCATCCCCACGTCACAGAGGGGGAAACAGGCACAGCAGGGCCTGGGACCGCACTGAGGCCTGTGCAATCTTTCTCTTTCAGGGAGGGGGAGAGGGCTCTAGGCCTCCCAGCCCCACGCAGAGGTGTTTTCAGATCTCCCAGACCTTCCAGGTGGCTGTTCCTGGGGTCCAGCCCTGCCCCTTATGAGCTGAGTGTGGCAGTCCCGTCCCCACTGCCAAACTCATTCTGGAGTGTTCCAGGCTCCTGTGGACCAGGGGGTGGGAGTGCAAGCCTCACCAGGCCATCATGACCACTGAGGGGGGAGTCACATGGCTATGGGGGATTTGGGGGTCTCAGGGCTGAAGGGTGAGGTCAGGCTGAAGGGGGACGGAGGGGCCCCCAGGCCTGCCTCTGTCCTGGAGACTGGCTGTGGGTGGCAGAGCAGGGGCAGCCTCGGCTTGGCCTGGTGGTGAGGGGGTGGGTGGGGTTCAGCAGAGGCCTGACCCTGTGAGGGCTGGACCACTATGCTCTGAGGTCACGCTCAAGTCTGGGGCTCAGGAGGACACCGCTCAGGAGTCCTGGGCGGCAGGCATGGCTTCTCCCTTTTCCTTGCCCCTGTCAGGAACATGATAAAAAGTCCCCCAATCTCTGCTCTGGGGCTCAAGGCCCGCATTCCCGAGTTCAAAGCCAGCCTCACCTTCCTCCAGTGCCTGGCCCCTCCAGGCACGCCTGCCCCCACTTGTCTCCGGTGGCCAGTTTTCCTACCTGGACCCCTCGCATGCTGTTCCCTTTCCTGGGGCTCTCCTGCCATCCACCCGGCCACCGTCAGGACACTGAGGAGCCACCGTTGTGGCCGGCTGGCACTCAGGCATCACATGGATCAGTGCGTTCCTTTGAGATTTTCTGTGATTCCGCTTTGCTCTCCTGAAAAGTGTTGACCTAATGGAAAAAACTGATGTAAAATTTACCTAAGTAGAGAGTTTATTTGGGCCAAGCTGGAGGACTGCAACCTGAGAGCATAGATTGGTTGCTGCCCTCCAACATGGCCCATATAAACTCCCTACTTACAATGATTTCTCCTCAGTTGTTCCCTTTAGGTCAACGTATCTGGCCTAAGCCATCAGGATTCGGAGTGACCACCCTCCCCTGACCCCCAGCATTTTCTCTGGGACTCGGCGCTCAGCACCAGCGCACACCCATGTGGTCATCTGACTCCAGAGGTGTCACGGGTGCAGAAGGGTGAGTCTGAATCCAGACCTCCCTTCTCTTTTTGGTTGCGGTCTACATTTTATTTGGGCTGTTTTTCAAACCCTGTTTTTCCTTTAAAAGTGAGGGCTTTGGTCTCTTTCTTTGCACAGGAGATCGCACTAAAGAATACTGTGGAGGGCTGGTTTCCCTCCTCTGCCCCATGGCACGTGGTCTGGGCCATGGT